TTGTATGAGAAAGAAGAGTTCAAGAAAATACTTAACAGCTGATCATAAAGATGTATCCCTGAAGTTGTATATTTCTTGCAAAGCAATAACAAAATATTAGTAACAGTACTTCGGTAGTTAACTCACATTTTGACTTTTAGAAGCTTTGCGACAGTAAACTAAATACTTATAACAGAATACCAATTAACTAAAGCAAATTTTGCAGGTAACACCCACCATAAACTGGTGTGAAAGGCAGTGAGAGAGCAGACGCCCTAACTGGCAGTTTGACTATCAGGGATGGCCATCTATGGACAGGAGAGATATCAACAATGCCATACGAGAGACTAAACACTGTGAGGCTTTCAGTTTCATGGAAGATGATTTTTCACTGTATAGACCGCATATCATTGGTGTACCAATTGAAGCAGTGAGACAGGAAAACCATACAGGAGCCACCAGTCGCTACATCAACAAACAAAAAAATTGGAGTTGTTAGCCTAAAAACACTTAGAGACAGACTCAGTTAGCCTAAAACACTTGGAGACATACTCAGTTAGCCTAAAAACACTTAGAGACATAGGAGGAAACTGGAGCACTTATGGTCATGTCCGATGTGCGTTGAAGATGATCTTCAAATGAATGGTGAACAATGATGTCAACCAGCCAGGGACATTCCTCGAAGAGATAATTATTGCCAATAAATATGTTGTAGTAGAAGATCATTGTAAACAATGTATAGATCATACACAATGCTGTTTATAGCCCTGCAAAAATAAATCATTATCATCATGTAGCAGGCCCTTTGCAGAATGTCGCTCTTAACACGGTCTGCTGAAAGAAACTCGGTCTCTCGCCAGTTGTCCTGCCTCATGCACTTTCCAACCAAACATGTTCTTTTATTCCGGCCTCTCCTTCCTGGCACTGTGCCTTCTGCTATTATTGTTTCTGTCTACCCTGTTGCTTTATATGGCCAAAATATTTCAGCTCCTAAAAAATAAATATATCAATAATATATCACCACAATAGAAGTTTGCTGCACTGAATATGTGCACTGACAGCTCTCTTTGGGAATATTACTGGATGAGGCTAAAATCTCTTCATTGGGATGACTCTCATAGCCATTTTCTCAAAAGCTGCAATAATATTCTATTAAAATACTTTTTGTAAAAGTAGTTGCAGGTACTCATAGCAAAAAGTATGGAATGCCTACAGAACCACCTAAATCAAATTAGTAACAAAGGGGAGGAAAATAATATGAAAATAAACACTGCGAAGACAAAGACAATGGTGATAGGAAGACATAAAGACAATTTAGAAATTCAATTAAAAAACAAAACCTTAAGACAAACTTTTGTTCCATGACTTTGGACAAAGAATACGAAATCACGAAATCAGATGAATGCTAGGAATAAAGCCAGTCTTACAAGTCATCAAACAACAACAAATGAAGTGGTTTGGACACCTAACAAAAATGCCCTGGTTCTATCTGCCACGGCGAGCCACACTAAAGCGTTAAAACAGGTATAGAGCAAGTGGAAGACCTCAGAAAATATGATGGCAATAAGAACAGCCTTACAGAAATGAGCATCAGTTTTAATAGTGCTCTTGACAGAGCTCATCAATGAATGTTACATCTCCCGCCGACACTTCACAGAGGTACACGGTGGAAGAGAAGAAGAAGCAGTTGCAGATCCTTTACAGGATATTGTAGAACCAATCCTAGCAATTTTTTTTATGTTCAGCAATGTTACGGTTCAGTAGTTTGCCATTGCTTTTTGGTCTGTCAGATTTTGATACCACAGTCAAAACTACTGCAGTGTGAACTGCTGCCAAATTGTCCACAGCTGATCAAACCCAGCACCTCCGAATTATAAAGCTTAATCACATGCTGAAATCACAGACCACCAATATGATTTTCTTTAAACCTGTGGAATTAATCAGTTATCTTCTTTCTTAACAGATAATAGCATCATTATTGATGCCCACCAGCCAGTCATCTTCCTCAAACAGCACATCAAGTTCATCGTCTCATTCTGCCAGCCACCTGGATGCAATTACAGCCCAACAGGTCCTCCAGCACACCTTGTCTCAAGCCATAGCTGTCAGTAAACTACATGCAAACTCCAAACTGGCACAGCAGTGTCATGTGTCCTCCTCCACCAATGGTCTTCCAGCCAATGTCTCACAGCTGTTGCCACGTAAGATTTTCTTTCATGCAGAAAAAGATCTTCTTCTTATAGTCCATGATTTTAGGCTTTAGTCGTCATGTCATATCTGAGTGTTGTTAAGGGTCTCCTTGTGGTATAGATTGCATTCTGCAGAATTATGCCATTTTCAGAGAGCAAAGAAAATATATGGTCAACAGCTATTTCTACTGGCAACTTTCAATCTGACATCTAATTTTTTGCAGTATAATAAGAAATAACATACTTGTGATATGGCACCAGTAATAGGTTGAAGGTGAGAGGATTAACTTTATTACTCCAGGTTTTTTAAAGTGCGACTCTGTTGCCACAGAATGGCTAGCCAACTACTGAGAGCCTCACATAAAACATAAAATCCATAGCTCTAGTGACGGTCACCGTGTGTATCTGTAAATATTGCTTCCGTGAACCGAGTAACACCACTGTGAAATGGAAATGAACCTTCAGAGTGCGAAACAAACAGCTTGACCGCTTAGCCACAGAGACTTCCCAAATGACATCATTAGACAGTGATTATATATCTTCACAATGATTTTAATTGATTTGACTGTTTCACCTGCTTTTAAAAGCCTGAACAAAATAACGCTAAATTATATCGTTTTAAAAATAAATTGCCTATTTTTAATTTAAATTGTATTTCAGTCTTAATATATGCCAGCGAAAGTTGGAGAACAACTAAAATAATGGAACAAAAGTTGAATGCATTACAAAAACAAAAGCCTATGGAAAATAATTAACAACTAGGATAAATTCAAGAAACATGAAGAAATAAGGGAAATGACTGGACACCCACTAATATCAAGAGTTATAAGAAAAAGATGGCAATGTTTGAACTTTTTATGAGAAGAAGAGGTCAGAGACTTAACTTCAGGCAATGAAATAAGAAACAAATGGATTCAAGACTCAGTGTTTCTAAGAGAAACCGTAAGATGAATGTTGTTGAAAGAGACTAAGGTGACGGACTGGATACCCTTCAATTATATCAAAAGGATTGTCGGGGGCCCATTGCGGGGACAAAAAGAATAGACACTGCATCACCAAGCATGTCAAAGGAGTTGACTGACTGGGCATCCTTCAAAGTCGAAGTACATCTGCCTGAGAGGCAAGGAACCAAGAGTCTGCTGACAAATAAGCCAGATGTGTGAAATGGATTTACATCCAACACTCACGTTCTGGAAAAAGACTAAAGACCAGAAGTGGATGAACACCCAAAAACTTTCTGTCAGAGTTTTCAGCAGGTGAATGCAAGAAGAAGAAGAAGAAGAAGAAGAAGAAGAAGAAGAAGAAGAAGAAGAAGAAGAAGAAGAAGAAAGCAGAAAGCAGGAAGCAGGAAGCAGGAGGCAGGAGGCAGGAGGCAGGAGGAAGGAGGAAGGAAGAAGGAAGAAGAAAAGGACTGCTCAGGATAGAACAGAATGGAAGACTAGGCTGTGAACCCTGTACAACAGGATTGCATGACAAGTTGATGATCAAATTGATCAACAAGACTGTGTTGTGACTGTTGGGAGTGAAATACCTAAAACCTCTGAAAGAAACATTGCCAACTTTGACAGAATCCCAGCAATTCTATCAGAACGGTGCTGAACCATGACATAATTATATTCTAATATGCTTCTTTGAAGATAGAAAGCTCCAGTACTGGTCTTGCACATTCGACTTGATCAGGACTTGGAGAAGGAAATGGCATTTCTGCAAAACAGTCACTTTTAAGATGAAACTTTAAACCTGATCAGGGAACAGTCTCTACACAACATCACTTCAGTAAATGCAAACGCTTTCGGGATTTAGATGACCCAAATGTTAATACATCAGACTTACCTCTTTAAATACGAGATAGTGTTACCTTAATTCTTTCTATCCCACAGTTAAGGCTACTTTAAAGTTACAATCTTTGAGCCATAATGAATTAAATATTGGAAATGTTGAAAATGATGAGTTGAAACAATCAGGAGGGATCAACATAAGATAAGAAAGAGATAGTGGAAACTAGTCAATGTAAACAATATATAGAATATTCATTTGTCATTGTTCATTTCAGGATCATCTTCACTGCACCTCAGACCCTGTCTGTAATTGCTCTGATCTTTGCCTAAGTATGTTTCTTACTGTGTTTATGCTGATGTCTGCTGTTCTCCATTGGTTGATATAGGAACTGTGAACTCTTGCATGGTTTTCATGCTTCACTGCTCTGATTGGTCTATCTAAAAAGACTACACATCCATGTCAGGAAAAAATCAAACTTCTATATCTGGAGTCTTTAGCACAAATTGTCCCGTGTATTGGCATTATATCTTTCTGTCTTGTAGAAGATCCACTTTCTAGGGTTGCATTACCTGCAAGAGCATCCATCCTCTTGTCTTTCATGCCGGCATGTCCTGGGACATGAGCAGATTAAAAGATAACTCAACAGAGAATTAAATATATTCACACTGAGTTGTTTCGTACTGTAAGACTTAAGCAGAAAACTCACAATCAGCCAACAGATTTTTTTCCTGTCTGGGTTACAAGGCTCGATTTTGGGGAAATAAAGTACAGGCTCATTGCTTCCTTAACTAGCACGTCATAGGAGGCCACTAATTAAGGATGTTTACTTTAAAGTTTAAATGTATATCCTTGAGAGACAAGAAACCAACAGTCTGCATACAACTAAACTAGATCTGTAAAATGGATGTGCATGCAACTTTCAAGTTCTGGAACAAGACCAAAGACTGGAAGTAGGTGGACAACCAAAACTGTCCACAGGAGTTTTCAGCCAGTGAAGCGCAAAGAAGAAGAACGAGCAAATCAACATACCAACCAATGAGCGAAACAACTAACTAATCAGTCAGGTTGTCTAAATCAAGCACTTTTCTCCTTTTGTTTCAGACACAGTTGGTAATTCTACAGAAAGCACAACAGTAGATGGAATCAATTTAGATGAGATCAAAGAATTTGCTCGCCAGTTCAAGATCAGACGGTTGTCTCTCGGTTTAACTCAGACCCAAGTTGGGCAAGCTCTTAGCACAACAGAGGGTCCAGCATACAGCCAGTCTGCAATATGCAGGTTAGTTTCAGAAAATAAATGTCAAGTGTTTCTTAACTTGACTCCACTCAGCTCCTAACAGCATGGTTCCAGCATGAAGATGGGCACAGGACATAAGTTCCAGACTGGGAAGGAAATTGCACAAGTTGGGGAGCCGGCAAACAACTGAGTTTCTTTCCGTGATAAGAGCAGTGACAGTCTGCAAAAGATCTGCAACATGATGATGATGATGTTTCTTAATTGCGTTATCAGGTTTTTGGTTTAATTGTTGTGTTTCATTTCCTGACATGTAAATATATATTCTATTCTCATAGAACTTTTCAGCTGAATTTAGTTAAGAACTGATTTACTGATTTGAGAATTGACATCATAACACATCAGGCTTACCCATAGATGCTCTGTCTCCTGTAGCAAATGTCTTAAGGGGTAGTTGCTAACTTCCCGTAATGCACTGATTATACACACGTCATTCTCTTCTTCTCAAACATCCATCCTGCCTGAATCCACTCTTAATCTTTTTGTTCACACATTCTTACACACATTATTTCATCTAACCTTGTGTTTTCTATCAACATTTGTTCATTTATGGTTTTCCTGATGTCTTCCTTGTACAGTATGAGTGTTCCTGCAGCTATCATTAAGAATTGACATCATACTACTAGGTGCAAGCAGATAAACGCTCCAAACCAATTTCCAGGAGCCAGCATATAATTTATTTTTCATTTGTACTAGTGGTAGCAGTTTGGTTATATGTCCATCTGCCTTTCCTTACCCCTGTGCATAGGCCAAATCCTCTGGTCATATAGCTGTACCATTTTCTCTGTAATGATATACTTCTGCTTCTGCTCACTTGCACCCAAAATGTCTGATCAAATCCAACTTTATTTTTAGTTAATAGTCGTCCCTTTGTGGGATGCAATTTTTTGTTTGAAGCCCCACTATGGCTATTGCCAGGGGTCCTGGATATAGCCGGGGCATAGATATGGCCTAGCCATAGATATGGCCTAACGGCTGAAAGGGGTTTCTGGGACCTCTCCATGGGTGATCCTCATCCGCATGGTGGCACTTTGTGTCACTGGGTGTTTATAGCTTGTGTGATGTCCTGGTGGGGTAAAACTACCTACCTACCTGTGCATATGTATATCCATTTCATGCTTGATAAATTCTGTGAAATATATTATTCGCCTATTGTAAACGGTGCCATAATTGGTGAAATATTCGTTTGAAAAATCAAATGTTTGCAAGTATTTGAATTTCCAATCTTCTAATTATGTATGAGGGCCAGTTAGTCAATGCTACATTAAATAACTCGTTGTAGAGTTATGGCTTTATTGCCAAACTTTGGCACTTCCAAAAACTCTTACTTTCTGAAAAATGGTCTTATGCTTTCAATACTTGAAATTCTCTCATTAACTTCTTGTAAAACTTCATGCAACACAACAATCTTTCTGTAATTTGTATTCTTCAAGTATCAACACATTGTTTTATGCATTCATGTATTTTAATCTGTTACTTGAAGTTAATTAATAAGACTACTACCAGTACAATCGGAATTTGTGTTCTGTGTTGGCTGCTAAAGATGGGGATGGAGCATTTATGGGAATATTCCCAATACTATAATGTTGGTTCCTAACTAAGTTCAACTCAACACATACATATGTGTGTGTATATATATATTTATGTGTGTGTGTGTATATATATATATATATATATATATATATATATATATATATATATATATATATATAACTTTTGTTCTTTACCATTTGAGAATAGCGATAATTAGTAAAATTTCAGTTATTTTAAAATTAGAATTAAGGGGAAGCATACAAATTAGCAACAACACTGCAAACAGATAAAAAGACATTGGTTAGACAAAATGACTCCACTCTGTTGTGTCTCTTTAACGTTGTTGGTTGAGGGTCATATCCCAGTGAACCCAAGAGCAGTAATGTGGCTATTGGTTGTGTCTCTTGTGTTGGATAGGTAAAAGAATAAAGATCAGTTAAAGAAACAAACAAACATTTTCTTGCAGGAAAAAGTCAAAAGCTAGGGAAAGCAAATACAAACAAAATGCATGTAAAATCAAATAAACTGAGCCCCAAGCTTGATGAATCAGTACAAAATAACTCATTTCATGGATGAAATAAAAATGTTAAATCAAATTTTAAGTATCAGATCAGTGCATGGTCAGTTCAGACAATGTATTAATCTACCGACTGACTGACTTTCTACCCCACTAGGACATCACACAAGCGATAAACACCCGATGACACAAAGTGCCACCATGTGGATGAGGATCACCATGGAGAGGTCCCAGAAACCGCGTTCAGACATTTGGCCATATGTATGGCCTGCCTATATTGCGGCCCCTGGCAGACGCCAGAGTAGGGCTTCAAATGACAAAAAATTTCGTCCTGAAAAGAACGAAATTGGGAATACTAGCATTAATCTACCTGTGAGTTTTAGCTTTAGCTTGTTGAACATTAATCATTGATTATACATTTCATTTTTCCATTGAACTATCTTATCTACAGGTTTGAAAAATTAGACATCACTCCCAAGAGTGCACAGAAAATCAAACCAGTTTTAGAAAGGTGGATGGCTGAGGCCGAAGAACGATATAAAAATGGGGTACAAAATCTTACAGACTTTATTGGTAGTGAACCGAGTAAAAAACGAAAGAGGCGGACATCATTCACACCACAAGCTCTTGAACTACTCAATCACTACTTTGAGAGGAATACACACCCAACAGGTGAGACTGATTCTTTATTTGTGATAGTTCCATTTAGACAGTCTCTATGACAGAATTTAACTGTCTTTGTCATACACTTATTACTTTAAAGTGACTTGCTAGTCACAACTGATATCACCATTAGTTGTGATTCCGATGCCTCCACATCTTAGTCTTAGTAATAGTTGAGGTTTCAACTTCACTGCAATCAGGTTTCCCCACACTTGCTCCGTTCCTGTGCCAGTGAACATCAAATGAAACATCCTTCACTGTCCCATTTGCAAAACTGGTGAGCAAACAATAAGTCCCGGAACAATTCAGAAATATCTGCACACAGTAAATGCATATTTCAGTTCCTAGAGGCGCCAAAGCCGTCACTACCAGAAATGCAGTGTGTCATTGATGGAAGCAGTCAGGCCCTTTATATTGGCTTAACACATGTAGAATTATTACATAAGGTATTTCACCAGCTAACATGTAAACCGGCTATCGGCCATATTGAATTGGCATATACAACCATTTATTATGATAGTCAACAATGAGTGCTCACGTAAATCTACTACCATTTACTGTGAATGTCTACGCTGAATATTGGTTTAAATCTAAAGGTTAAAGTTAAGAGTATCTACTTCATTGCATTGGGTTTTATGTCAGATGGCTAGGTCTCTTTCTCTCTGCAAAATGGCTAGCCACTTGCTAACAGCACGGCACAAAGCTTGACCACTTCCACACGGAGACCACTTATCTACAACAGTTTACCATAATAGTCTACACTGAGTGATTGACTACATTTACAATCATTTCACTGAGTACTGATCTACATCTACAGCCATTTATCATATTAGCCTACATTTAGTAAGGATATACATCTACAGCCATTTACTATGATTGTCTACACTGAGTACTGATCTACATCTATAGCTATTTACCATATTAGCCTATATTTAGTAAGGATATACATCTACAGCCATTTACTATAATTGTCTACACTGAGTACTGATCTACATCTACAGCCATTTGCCATATTAGCCTACATTTAGTAAGGATATACATCTACAGCCATTTACTATGATTGTCTACACTGAGTGCTGATCTACATCTACAGCCATTTACCATATTAGGCTACACTAAGTAAAGGTGTATATCTACAACTATTTACTATGATTGTCTACACTGAGTGCTGATCTACGTCTTAAGCCATTAACCATATTAGCTTACACTAAGTAAGGGTGTACATCTACAACTATTTACTTTGATTGTCTACACTGAGTGCTGATCTACATCTACAGCCATTAACCATGTTAGCTTACACTAAGTAAGGGTGTACATCTACAACTATTTACTATGATTGTCTACACTGAGTGCTAATCTACATCTAAAGCCATTACCCATATAAGCTTACACTAAGTAAGGGTGTACATCTATAACTATTTACTATGATTGTCTACACTGAGTGCTGATCTACATCTAAAGCCATTACCCATATTAGCTTACACTAAGTAAAGGTGTACATCTACAACTGTTTACTATGATTGTCTACACTGAGTGCTGATCTACATCTAAAGCTATTGCCCATATAAGCTCAAACTAAGTAAGGGTGTACATCTACAACTATTTACTATGATTGTCTACACTGAGTGCTGATCTACATCTAAAGCCATTACCCATATTAGCTTACACTAAGTAAAGGTGTACATCTACAACTGTTTACTATGATTGTCTACACTGAGTGCTGATCTACATCTAAAGCCATTACCCATATAAGCTTAAACTAAGTAAGGGTGTACATCTACAACTATTCACTATGATTGTCTACACTGAGTGCTGATCTACATCTTAAGCCATTAACCATATTAGCCTACACTAAGTAAGGGTGTACATCTACAACTATTTACTATGATTGTCTACACTGAGTGCTAATCTACATCTAAAGCCATTACCCATATAAGCTTACACTAAGAAAGGGTGTACATCTATAACTATTTACTATGATTGTCTACACTGAGTGCTGATCTACATCTAAAGCCATTACCCATATTAGCTTACACTAAGCAAAGGTGTACATCTACAACTGTTTACTATGATTGTCTACACTGAGTGTTGATTTACATCTAAAGCCATTAACCATATTAGCCTACACTAAGTAAGCGTGTACATCTACAACCATTTACTATGATAATTAGCCTGCACTGAGTACTGATCTTTATTTACTACTATTTCTGTTTTATTATTTACATAATTACACTCAATTTGTTTTAAATCAAGGGACAGAAATGACAGAATTATCAGAGCGGCTAAATTATGACCGGGAGGTGATTCGAGTTTGGTTTTGCAACAAGAGGCAAGCTCTGAAGAATACCATAAAGAAGTTCAAGCAAGATGATCAGTAACAACTGCTGTACAATTTAGTGCTTCAGAGAATACATTTATGTGCAATATTCTGCCAAAATTAAATTGGTTTTTTTTTTTTTTTTTTGGTCGTAGAAATTAACATGCCAATATTTTTTTCTAACATTCCAAACCAAAATTAACAGAAACTAAATTATTTCTTAGAAAAGTGTTATGTCTATAATGTTCCTTGGTTTTGAAGAAAAGCATATCCTATCCTTTTGAAATATTGGGGTTGACATATTTTATTTTTGTCTTTTTTTTTTTTTATGCTTCAATGTTGGCATCTGTAACTTAGAAGTTATGAACACAGTTTTATAATTCCAAAATACCAGTTTATAATCAGTATCATGTGTTTTGGCAACAGGCCTCTTTACACTTAGTTCCTCAATAGTATGAGAGTTGACCATTAAGAGGCAATGGCAGACTTTTCAATGTAAAATTGCCTAGTAAAACCACAAACATTCAACATATGCTGGTATTGATTTGCCATGTCTTTTAAAAGATCTGCCACTAACTTTGACATTTAAATATTGGATTTTAAAAACTACGGCAATCACAATCGAGAATGTTCTGTTTATTATATAATCACTGTAATAATTAATGTCCTCAGACTTGTGTTACAGATGTGCTTTTATACAATAACTGTTTTATAACTTTAATAACAATCTGTAAATGATTGTGACAAGGGTTATCAAACAACTCTGATAATCATTTGGAAACATTTGTGACAATAGATATCAACTAAATAATTCTGATAACAGGTTGGAAATGACTTAACATTGTTCACGTTCTTCTATTTCTACAGAATTTATTTTCAGTGTCTTCATCTTTAAGTTGCTGCAGACTTCTTCCCTCTTCCTTTTAGCATTCACTGGCTGTAAAACCAAAGATCTTAAGGCTGCAGGCATATGTTTAGACACAATAATTTATCATTTTTAAATAATGCCCTCACTGAAGATAGACTACGTACAGGTCTGGAAGAAGTAGAACATTACTGTCCAATTCATAAACTAACATTCATGCATGATTAGCATTTTAGTCCCAGAGAAGTGATACTTGACCTCACTGAAGACACAGTCTTCAAAATCAGAGGTTATCAGTGCTTCCGATCAGACCGGAAAAGCAGGAAAAAGGGTGGAATATTGACTCTTGTGAGGAACAATATCACTGCGTGCCAGACTGAAGTATATATGGATGGAGCAGAATATCAGATTCTGAAACTACAAACTGGAAATGCAGACTTCTACCTGATCAATTATTACTGCCCAAGTGATCGTCCCCAGGCTTTAGACACAATCCCAGTGGAAGAAAAGATGATTCTATGTGGAGACTTTAACAGCCACTCACAAAGCTGGGGATATGACCATATAGACCAGAGAGGAGAAAAAATGGAGGAGTGGCAGGATGAGAACAGATTTGTTCTTATTAATAGGCCAACTGATCCACCCATTTTCTACTCGAGGTCGTGGCACACCACTACTACCCCAGACCTAGCATTTCACTCTCCAGATCTGGAATGGAACTTTAAACGAGTTGTTGGAAATCAACTGTGAGGGAGTGACCATAGACCGGTCTTCCTGAATGTAGAAAATGAGAAGGTCAGAGAAACTAGTACGCTGCCAAGGTGGAACTACAAGAAGGCTGACTGGACAATGTTCAAGCACCGTACCAGTATACTGCTTGGAAGTCTCAGCGTAGACCAGGATATAAACAAAGTAGTTAAAGAATTTAACAAATGAGTACTAAAGGCAGCAGGAGAATCAATACCAAGAGGTGCCCGTAAGCATTATAAGCCATACTGGAGTAATGAGCTAGAAAATTTACATAACGAAGTAGAAACATCCAGAAAGATAGCAGAGACCAGGCCAAATCAAGAACATCACAATAACTACCAGGATGCAAAAGCAAAATTTGTAAGGGCAAAGCTGCAGGTTAGAAGGGAAAGCTGGCAGGAGAAAACAAGGTCGCTGAACTTTGAAAAAGACACAAGAAAGTTATGGAAGCTTGTGAAACAAATTAATGATGAGGACACAGGGTGGAACTCAAAGATCACGCTGCAGAAAGATGGAAACATGGTCACAGGAAAAGAAGCAGCCAACCTATTTGCGGACACTTTTGCTTTAGATAACGACATTGAAATCAGTTCAGAGAAAAAACACGAAATTCAAGAAAAGACACAATTTAGAAGTCAGAAAGAAATAACATCAGAGGCGCTAGAGGTGCCAATTACACTTAATGAACTGGAGTTGGCCATTTCAAAGCTGAAAATGCGGAAGTCACCAGGAGCAGATGGTATATCAAACGAAATGATCAGAAACTTAGGAAAAGTAGCCAAAACAAAGCTTTTACAGATATTTAATGCTTGCTGGGCAACAGGGAATGTTCCACAGATCTGGAGAGAGGCAATTATGATACCTCTCATAAAGCCTGGGAAAGACAGTTCTAATGCCTCCAACTACAGACCAATCAGCCTCACAAGTTGTCTTTGTAAAACAATGGAGCGCATCACCAACCTCAGACTACAGTGGTACATTGAAAGTGAAAACATCATTACACCACAGCAGGCGGGCTTTAGAAAGTTCTATTCTATGGAAGACCAGACAACATACCTCTCCCAAGAAATAGAGGATGCTTTTCAAGATAAGAAACTGGTACTCGCGGCATGGATAGATTTAAGGAAAGCTTTTGATAAGGTTTGGAAGGAGGGGCTTTTGAAGAAATTGAGAAACTATAAAATAAATGGAAAAATGTACAATTGGATTTAAGCATATCTACATAACAGAAGAGCCCGGGTACAGGTAGATGGTTTTAAAAGTAAAAAAGTTCTACTGCGACAAGGCGTCCCTCAAGGTGGTGTCCTGTCGCCCACACTTTTCCTTTTATTTTTCAACGATCTGTTTGCTGAGATACCAAATGGAATCAAAATGACAACGTATGCCGACGACCTGGTACTGTGGTGCACCAATGAACATGCAACGATAGCCACAAAAACACTACAGCGGGCTACAAATGCACTTGAGGCATGGGCCAATAGATGGTGTATCAGCATCAACACAGACAAATGTAGCACCACACTATTCACCCTCTCCCCAAAGCAAAAAGCCAGCACCATCAAAATAAACAAAATACCCCTGAGAGATGATAAAGAGCCCACATACCTAGGAGTCACATTTGATGACAGGTTGACATGGAGAAAACATATCAACAAGGCAGCAACCAAAGCCAGGAGGAAGACAGCAATACTAAGAAAACTAAGTGGAACCACATGGGGAGCAGATGGGAAAATACTCAATAAAGTATACAAGCAGAGCATACTTCCACACTTGGAATATGGGTCAACTGCATGGTGTTCAGCATCTAGTACCACATTAAAGGAGTTAGACAAAGTGCAAAATCAAGCGCTCAGAGTCATCACAGGAGGGATGAAATCAACCCCCAAATTAGAATTGGAGAAAGCTGGGAAAACACAGGCACTGAGAGAACGCAGAGATACAAAGTTGCAAATACAAGCTGAAAAGTTCCTCAGTATGCCAGATCACCCGATGGAAAATAGATTTAAGAACCTAGCCTTGGGACGGTTAAAAAGAAGCAGCTTTATACACCAAGCAAAAAGAATATGTAGACAAACTCCTGAACTTCCAGAAATTGGCTGCCCACTTAAAAGTATTCCGGAACAAACCCCATGGAGAGAAAAATGTAAACTAACGGTACAAATCCAGACAAATGTGAAAGGGATATTTGACAAGAAAGAGCAAGATAGTGTACAACGCAAAATGGCCACCCTCAGTTATATTGATGAAGAATACCCACAAGAACAATGGGTCAGAGTCTATACAGATGGGTCCGCAGAAAGTGCAGTTAGAAATGGTGGTGCTGGAGTGTACATCGAATTCCCAGATGGTAAAAGGGATAAGTCCAGCGTACCAACCGGGAAGTACTGCGATAACTACGATGCAGAAACCCAGGCTATTAAGATAGCTACAGAGAAACTGCTAAATACCAACCTTGGCTCACAGTATGTGGTAATGCTTACAGATGCTAAATCAGTACTTGAAGCACTCCAGTCTAGGAAACTACCAGAATTGCAAACACTGCTGACACAACTCAGTGTTCAGCGAAGAGTCGTAATGAAGTGGATACCGTCTCATTGTGGAGTGCCTGGAAATGAGAAAGCTGATCAACTGGCAGGGGAAGGTGCGAAAAAAGAGCAGCCAGATGTACCAGTCACATACCACCAAAAGAAAAGAATCATTAAATCGATCAGGAAACCACCAGCCCCAGCACAAGATGACTATTTTATTATGGACAGACCAGAACAAGTCATTATCTTCTGCCTCAGAACAGGGCACAACCGATTACATAACCACATGTACACAAAATTCAAGATAGGTGTATCAGCCATGTGCACCTGTGGAAATGTGCCCCAGACCGCAGAGCATGTACTCCAGGACTGCACAGATTTTGACACATTAAGGCAAACCTTTTGGCCAGAAAGAACAACAGTGGAACGTAAACTCTATGGACCACTGAATGAACTAACAACGACAGTGAAATTTATACAAGAGACAAAACTGCTGATATAGATAACTTATTTGAGGAGAACGAAAGAAGAAGAAGAGCTCCTTCTACCTGAAGAATTTATATTAATTCTTCTTGCGTAGAAAGTATTTAAAATAATAATTCTATGAAGCTGAAAGAGTTAAAGTAATTATAAGGAAGAGTATATTAATGTAACAAGTGAATGAGATACATAGAAGAAAAGCAGAGCATGTAAGTAGTTATTCAAAACCACATGGTGGATTGCCTGGTAAATAATTAGCATTAAAGACCATTGTATCTGACTGCAATCTTTGCTTTCATTGCTAATTATACATAAATATTACCATCAAATAATTTACTGCTAACAGGTGTATGCTTTACTGGCTTAGAGTTCTGAATGTTCTATGTAGCATTTTAATTCTGCTTTTTTCCATATAACTTTACTCTCTCAGATTAATTC